CAGAGCCCGGGATCCAGAGATCTTTCGGAGAGGAACGACTCCGCTAAACCGCGCCTCCCGCGGCCGGGCAGGGGGAGGGCCGCCGGTCGCCACTCCCACCCTCCCCGGTCGCCGCGCGGCGCCCCTTCCCGACCCGGAGCAGCCTCGGCGGGACGGCGGGCGCCATGGGGGTTTGGGGGAAGGGTAAGGGGAAGCCGTGCCGGCAGAGAGAGGCGGAGAGGTGCGGAGACCAGAGGAGGGACAGCGGGGTGGGGCACCGGGAGGAGTGTGGAAAGCGGCTGTGCAGGCGCCTGGAGGGAGCAATTGCACCGAGGCCAACACCCCTCACCCCCCAGCCTGGTGACGACTGCTAGTGCCCTCAGCTTAGGGACCCTACGAGGTCTCGGCTCTCACCTCCGGGCGGGGAAGGACCGACTCAGCGCTGCGGGGTAGAAATGCATTCGCGCGGCTTCTAAACTGCTTCCGGTCCCAGAGGTGCACTGGGGGAGGGGCCCGGAACGCGGGAGCGGTTGCCATGGAGACGACCTCCCGGCCTGCAGAGGGAGCAGAGGGGCTGCGGTGGCCCTGACTGGTGGGCATCCTGCTGCTCTTCCCTGGCTCAGAAAACTAGCATTGGCACTTCCCAATGTATTATCTCCTTTACTCTTCCCGTAACTAAAATCATTCTCATTTTACAGAAAATAAACCCAAAGGTCGCGTGACTTGTCCAAGGTCACACACAAGGGAGCCTATTGTGCTTTCAACTGCTGAGCACGCACGACTTTCACCCAAGACAGTAAGTCCAGAGACGAGGTGTTGGGCAAAGGAAAGCAACTTTTATTCCAAGATACCACAAACCGAGATGGTGACAGACTTATGTCCCAAAGAACCATCTTATATTAGTGTAAAATGTAGGCTCATTTTTATCTTAAGAGAAGGGGAAGGAGGGGGGTTGGATTGCAAGAAGTAATGGCAGGCAGACGTGTGGGCATCAGTGAGGGCCTGAGGAGGTTGTGAAGTTTCTCTGCTCTTGGTGGGTTAACTTTGGAGGCTGAAGGTCAGGATGTTCCTAACATTGTTAACAGCATAGTTACTTGTATGTGTGTATACCTTTTTTTATCTCCAGAGGAGATAGCCACGCTCTGCATTTCGGTGCAGAGCGGTAAGGAAGACTGGAATACCTTTTATCTGCTACAGCTCCTTTCTTCAAGCTGTTGGCACTTGCGGGGTGCACGTGTGGTAACCAGTGGTGGGCATCCTATTGGGCATGTGCAAACGGCTAGAGGAAAGGAGTTTAGGTGTCACTGACGCTAGCCCCTCCAACAAGGTGGGCTCCCCCTGTCAGGTTCCAGAAGAAGATGACTTAAATGTATTTGAATAAATGTAGGTGGTTGTATTATACTTAATAAAAAATAAGACATCCCCTGAAAATAAGCCCTAGTGTGTCTTCTAGAGAAAAAATAAATATAAGACAGTGTCTTATTTTCGAGGAAACATGGTAATTACGAAAGACTATAACAAAGGTTATGGGAGTTATGAGCCAGAAATTATGGATGAAAACCTATATAACTTGTAGATTCCAAGTGATCCCAATGGGCAACTATGTTAGTTTCCTATGGAACTATAAATAATTATCACAAATTTGGTGCCTTTAAACAACAGGAATTTGTTCCCTCATGGTTCTGGAGGCTGGAAGTCAGAAATTGGTTTCAGTGAGCTTAAAGTGTTAACAGGGCATGGCTATTGGAGGCTACTTTACTCCTTCTGGAGGCTCTAAAGGAGGGTTTATTGACAGAATTTCTTTTTTTTTATTAGGTCATATACACATAGATCATGAATACATTTATGCATATGTAGGGTACGATGTGTTTTTTTAATACAATTTGACGTGCTTACATCAAACTAATTAGTACAGCTTTCACCTCATTTACTTGATTACTGTGTTAAGACATTTATGTTCTACACGTGATAGATTTGACTTGTACCCTTGCAATGTGCTTCATAGTGTAGCAGGAAACCGACGCAGACAAAGACTCCAGGCACCAGTTGATTAGAGGAAGCGGGTTTATTCAGCCGGGGGTACTCGGAACACCAGCGTGTTTCCCAAAACCGAGCCCCCTGACTCAATTCCATGCCTCTCTTTTATCCACTTTTCAGGGTGGGAGTGCACGTGAGGGTCATAAGACAGAGAGTGAGGGTCATAAAATAAAGAATGAGACACAACATCATAGATTACAATCTAGGCCCCGAGTATGTCAGGGGAGAAACACGCAGACAGAAACGCCTGCGGCCTGGCCGATGCCTACACAGGGTGGCCAGGAAAGACTTTCCTGAACTGCTTTTTACTTTTCTCACCTCAATAGGTGTGATCCTGCTGTTTACCCTCTATCAAACCTCTCCCCTCCCTTCCCTTCCCACTCCATTTCTTTCCTTCATCCTGGGCTATAGTTGTGTTCTATCTTTCTGCAGTAGGTCCTTGGTCTCAGAGATTTGAAGAATGAACCTACTGACTACAGAGATCAGTGATAAGATAGGCTTTATTAGATAGAAAGGAATAGAAGGAAGGAAAGGCAACAGAGCCTCTGGTGGGGAGGGGAGACCCAAGTAGAAATCTCCCCTGGTCTTTTTGTCTAGGGGGTTTACCATTTTGTAAGTAGGGAGATCTTGAGAATTAAATTCCGCTGGGGACTTAGCAGATTTCTATGCTGATTAGCAAATGAATGAGTGTATTAACGAATGTAGTCCTTCCAGCTCAGGGCAAAAAAAAAGGCAGGACGTCTGCTCCATATTCAGAGAGGAAAAGTCTGTTTGCTTAGTCCTTATAAAATGGGGTCCTTGTCCAGCCTTGAATGTGGGAAACCCTGTATCAAGTTCAATCCTTTTGTCTTTTTTTTTTTTTTTTTAGACAGAGTTGTCACTTTAGGTAAAGTACCCTGGTGTCAGAGCTCACAGCAACCTCAAACTCCTGGGCTCAAGCAATCCTTTTGACTCAGCCTCTTGAGTACCTGGAACTACAGGT